GGAATGAGAAAATTATTTGATTATGAATAATAATAAAGTTTACGCTTACTAAGGTAGCACAAACAAACATAAAAATCAGTCACACACACACACACAAGAGCACACATGCACACATTTTCAGAAAAGTAGTTCAAGTGACGAAAACAAAAATATTTACATTTGTAATGAACTAGTTTTATACAGGAATAGATTTCATAGAAAATCTAATAAGAGACAGTATATAAACAATGTTATTTTGAAAATAATACATACACAGACAATGTGGACATGTACACACAACTTATTGCAATGAATAATCTGATTATCACAAGTGTGTAGATAGTTTTAACGATTAAAGATGAATAATATAAAGGTGATCCAAAATTAGACTGGATCATAACTAGCTTTAACTGATGCAAGAAGTGACAAATTTGCATAAATTTCTGTTGACCGTTAAAAAAGTGAGTTTAACCAGGAAACCTTTTACCTTAAATCAAATAAGAAACCAACCAAAAAAAATCTCCATAAACAGTTCAACTGTGTTAGATGTAATGACCTCTAATTAAACTGGAGAAGCAATATGGACCTCCTCTAAATCTTATATACGATCAGTAGGTAAAACTGTGTTCCAATATAGTCCTACAGGAAGTTAATCACGAGCCCGAATAGCTTAGTGGTAATATCTCTGACTGCAGCACTGGGTGATGCGAATTCGAATCTCAGAAGGGACATGAGCTCCTTTGAGGTTGGAGATACCCTTGCTGGCTGGTGAGTGCCAACGACCACGAAACCTAGATCAAGTAAGGCTTTCTGCCGATTACCTCGAACCATCTAATATCAACACTCCTGGTGTATCGTGATGGTGAGCCACGTGGAATTATGGCCACACTGCAAACTTGACTGACAGAATTCAGTCTGCAGTAAACAAAGGACTAGACACATGACACTAGGGATTGTTCAATCATAGGTATATAATCTATACATTTCAGAATGTATTTCGATCGTATTAATTATAAAATACTAAATAACATGATGGTATACCCTGATAATTGATATATGAGATGTTGAAAACCATTCACACAAACCAGTTGTGATTTCTAACCAGACTGAAAGGATCCAGACACGAGGATAACGGTTAGTTCGTTTGGAGTCAAGCTCATAAGTGATGTATGTGACAGTTCAGATCACCCAAATTCTGGTTAACCACTTAGAAGAACTGGTATTCTTTGAAATTAAATTCGTCAGCTGTAAATTATATACGTGGGGGGGGGGGTTTCCCCACGGTTTTCTTCAGAAACCAATACGTGATCACCTCAATTTGCTTACAAACCACTACAGATTGATATGAATATTTCCCAATAGCGTATTTAAGACATGAAGAAGATTGTATGAGGTTAACACTGCATTTTGCATACTTCAACAAATTATGAACCCTTATTATGCTTACAATATACGAAAAATAAAAAAAACAGTACAGAGAACCTCGAAGGTTGACAAAAATCCATACCAAATAACCAAGTCTTTTACCCATCATTTCACCAAAATCTGACTTAAAAAGTTTCAGTAAAGAACTCTGCACAGAAGTACAACAGTTTAAGTTGCCTAATTCCTTACAGTACATAAAATAGAGCACAGCCATTGGTGCTTAGCATCCCGAGGACTCTAACCAGGCAGCGTCTATACCTCCCTATATGGCATAAACCAACAGTCGGCGAATTCATAGATTGATGCCAAGTTTCGGTTTAAATATTCCTAACGCCTTATCAACCTAATCTTTTATCAGCTAACAGTGCTTACTGAAAGCAATCAGAGTGTGCTTAAATTCTCTGGTTTTGAAGACTGAGTAAACATATTTAATGCTGCCTTGTAAAATCAATAATTTATTCAAACTTCAAACTACTGACAATTGTATTCTAATGTTATCCGATTAGCTGTAAAGTATCTATTTTGCGTAACTGAAAAATTTTATGGTTTGTAGTACAGATGCGAAAAAAGGACGTTTCGACTGCGTTTCTTCCTTCAGTGTTGAGCTGATGAACAAAGATTTGATGATTAACCTCCCTCTCCATCTGACTACATTACTTTTTCATACTTCCACCGTATCCCTCAGTATTATGTGAAGACAAACAAATGAATCCATTGCAGTGGCCGAGCCCTTTTTTAGATTATTCAACTTAGCGGGATCAATCGTTCTAGATCTAGCTAAATCCCTATGTCCTGACAGTCTAACTGACCTTGCTCTACTAGATTAAACCGGGTAATTATCCTCACAATTTCTACATGGTGCTTAGTAAATTATGTTATTTCTCTTAATCAGGTCCTTTAGCTGACAAAATTTGTCTTTGAGTGAGTTGTTTGGTTTAAGTGCCATTAACTGCAGCATTACTAGAATTCTGTGTAGGTCTCCTAGTAATAATAATAGCTTTATTCTGCACAATCAGTTTACACAATATGCATAATTTTCAAAGTAGTTCATTGCATAGTTTTCTTCTCTTCATGCAGGATTATCAAGTAAAACAGCCATCTCCAGTACATCATGTGACGCAATACTGTTCGATCTGAAGGACAAAATTATCCTCTATGGTGTTTTTCTTTGTGAACCCCAGAAATGCGCAACGAAAGGTTGCACACAAATTAAAAGTGAGCATGAGTAAGTTTGGTAACCCACGGACATAACTGAGTAATTACAACATTAAGGATTAAAAAATTAAGATGCAATATCTCAGATGGAAATTTAGGTAGCCCACTGATTCAAGTGGGTGGCCTTTCTTTTACATGGTAAATTATACAGACATGTGAATACGTTTAGCAAGAAACTGTATTTAAAACGTCATTCAGTTGATAATATTGTATCCCTATGTGTTGTATCAGATAGGCTTATCTAATAGGAAGTTATATTCTACAGAAGTGGTTAAATCCTACTCTAACAATACTTTTGGTGTTTTATAAGCTCTGACACTTATTAGCAGCCATTTCATTGTCATAAAGAAAATCAATACAAGTGATTCAGCGAAGAGACTCTTTTCAACGAATTTATTATCAAGGTGTACAATCGTATATAATTGTAATTTGAATAATATGTTAAATGTATTTAATAGTTGCCACTCAGTGGTGAAATTCACACTCGAAATGAAGAGCTAGTCTAGTATTCATTTCCTTGATGTGAACTTATCAAGAAGGACCGATGGAACTCTGAAGAGATAGATTTATCGAAAGGTGTCATGGAATGGTCAACTGACAAATTTCTACAGCTGGGTACCCATTGGACGAAAATGAAACCTGGTCCGGTCGTTTGCCAATCGCATTCGGCGCATATGTAGCCCTGATACTGTGGAGGATGAGTTATACCTTTTGAGGAATATCCTAATAGAAAATGGATTTCCACCACGATTTATAACACAAGAATATACAATCATCCGCACCCAAGAGTTCAGAGATGACTTAGCTTCCAATATCATGAAACAAAGGATATCACAGTCCCTGAAAAGAACATTCCCTGCTGCATTCCTGAGAATAGCCTTTACTAGTAGACCATTACTGTTCGATAACCTGAAGGACAAGATCCCGCTGTTGATCAACTGTATGTGTGTTCACCTGCTCGTGTGGATAGGTATACGGTCGTTCGACTCGAGTTTTGTCCAAGAGGGTGCGAGAACACTATCCTGCATGGTTACGTAGAGGTGAAAGTGGAGCAGTAAGAAGCACGATCATTGAACATTTTGTCGATAATGGTCACCATATCTCTATAGCCTTCGCCTTTAAGGTTATCTACAAGACAAAAAATAATTTACCCTACGTACCCGACTCATCCGTATTGCCGAATCTTTGGCTACCGAAACAGAAAATCCAGATCTCTGTGTATAAAAAAGTTCGTTCAACCCCTCCAACTTTCATGGTCTTAATCCCTATATGCTAAAGTATGGCAATACCTAATCGTAATTTGGCTCTACCGATTTTTCATTTTTTTCATTTTATCTATTCGATTTGTATACTCTTCCTTTATTACGTCAATTGTTACTATTACTATCCTCACTTTGAACTGTCCCCAGTATTATTTCACTTCTTCCACTAGTCATTCTCAATCAATTTTGTTTCGCAACATTAAATTCTATGCTATCAAATTTCATACAATATTACGTAAAGTTTTTATTTTATTAGATTTGCCTACTAATCTTATAATTGCACACCTTCTCCAAGTTCTATACATCCTATGAATTTTATTTTTTTTTTTTTTGATTACAGCTTGATTCCACCCTGTATTTTTGGTACAAGTATGGAATTTTCAGCGTAGATATCAGTAGCCCAAATTTCTCAGGCTGACCATAGATATCAGGTGTGCGTCAGCAGAGGATCGAACCTCGGACCATGTGCATGGTCGGCGAGAGTCCTAACCATTGTGCCACCGACGCACCAAAGCGAAGTGTGTCGGCACTTCTAAATCTAACATTAATTGTTTTGCCACTTGACATTTAACTATGATTATAACCACAAATGTTTCAATTGCATTTCGTACTACTACTATTATTATTTTATGCATTCACACCTATGATTCAATTCCCTCACCGGATATAACTTCTTAAACACCATATATATACGACTGTACAGCTTGATAATATATTCGTTGCAAAGAGTCTCTTTGCTGAATCACTTGTTTTGGTTTCTATATGTTACAATGGGAAATTTTCCATGAATTTCATTTCCAGGCTTAGTGACACTTTCGTCAGAATATTCCTTACTACAAAACGAGAATGAGAGTAGCAAAATTATACGTATCTCAAAATGAATTATTCTAATGTAGCAGCATCGGTAGGTTGCCAACCAAGTAGGTGGTTCGGAGTTCAATCCTCCGCTGATGTACTACTAAATCTAAGTTTACTAGTCACAATAGTGATCCTGAAAAAGAGGGAATATTGAACGTGAAGCTAGTCAAACTTCAAAGCTTAAAGCCTGAAGCCATATACTTCTACTGGGGAATCAAAGGAATAAAAGAAAATAACAGTACAAAATAGCTTTATACTTACACGGTTGTGGTATACCATAAAGATCACCAAGTAGAAATGGAAATGCTGGTTCTATTGGAGCTTTAGATAATTGACTGGTAACTAAGTTCTTTGTAGCTAATAATCTTTCAGTGATACCTTCACCAGTTATTGCTGTTGACATATTATCATCCAGTGGTAAACTTGAAGGATCTGGTTGAAGAGCATAATTCAGTCGTTCAACGCCTAATTTACGTCCTCGATGATGAGTGAACTGCCAGATATCTAGTCGACTGTGAGCTAACAAAGCAAAAAAAATTATCAGTGTAAAAAGTTTAATTATTTACTACATTATTTATGCAATAGTCATTTGATTGAACAAAGTAAACTATAAAAGCCATGTTCATTTGTACGTGTTTTCTAATTCAAAATGATGTAGTGCCACAGATGTAGTGAAGAAATCGGAATAACGTGGTAGTATTTTGAAGCTGTGTCAGTGATTCTGGGTAGGATGCACGCCAGCCACTCATGTCATTCCAGTTCAACTCCTGACCGATACACTCCCAAACCTCGTTTGGTCATTAGTAAGCTCTATGTTTTGCCCAGAACGTAAAGGAATGAAAGAAAGTTCGGATCACAGAAAAAAGTGATAAAATGTGAGCAGCATAACAGCCGTCGTCTGTCTTATCCTACGCTACACATTTGCTGAAACCTAATAGCACTGAGCAACAGTTTTGTCCTAATGTGTCTTTCTACTGCTGACTAGTCAAAACCTGTATGATAGACTTCCTAGAGTTCCAGTGAATGTCGACACACGTAGAGTCTCCCAAAACGAGTGCGAAGTCAGTTACCAATGATTTAGATGACAATGGTGATTTATCACGAATTGGAAGAACATAGAACACTTTGGCTAACCCGGTTACTGAGTGGCTAAAGGGCTCACCTCATGTTCTGAAGCTCCTGGGTTACGTCTCTAGTTAACTCCTGAAAGAATCCTACTGACAACTCGCAAAGTAGGACGAAATGGCTGTTGAGTTCCCCTTGGTCTTCAGTGGATCTCTTGTGTCTCCTTTAAATAAATTAAATCACTTAATCCGACTTTTTTTGATTGAACACGCCTTTGTGTAGCACATGTACTTTATGCATTAGAATAGGTGGAAATGATTTGTTCGTGAATGTTTTTACTATGTAACTTGCGTGTAGAACGCTCTTATAAGCTTGTATATAAGATCTTGGCTATCTTTGACCATCAATCTCTATTTAGGTAAAAGTGGTTGGCTTGAGTAACCTAGTCAGGTATAGGGTCCTTATGGTTTTTTTATTCTTTTATGTTTCTAGTGGAAAATACGGCTTCAAGCTAGACCCTTGAAGTTTCCGTAGCAGTGGTGTTTATTTTTACAGGATGGGGTTGCTAGCCTCATGACCAAACTTTCCTCTTTACCACTGTTATTACTGGTTTAGTGAGGTAACGGAGTGCGCTGACTGGGGATCTAACACCAAATCATTTGAGTGGTCGGCGAGCATTCTATCACTGTGCCGCCGAAGCTTAGAAACAATTGGCTGGATGGCCCAAAATGATTGTCAGAGGAGCATTTTTTGCCTCTACAAAACCCACAATACATCATAAAGTAAGACAACAAAAAAAAGAACTCTTTAAATCTATTTTAAAGCAATCAACAGTCCGAATAGCACTGTAGTAACGCTTCTCTCTCTCACTGCAGCTATGAGTGATCTGGGTTCGAGTCTTCAATGTGTTATCAGTCACTTTGATGTTATAGATAAGTCTTACAGACGGAGTATCAACAAAAACACAAAACCTAATACCATCGTTCCCCATTGATTGCCTCCAACTGTCTAGCATCTATTCCAGGTATACAGGGATGCCTAGTCTCCTAACTTGGTAGAAACATGCCGCTGGCTACAACCTTAGTGATAAATCAATGTACTTCTAGAAGTATAAGCACGGATAGGTTTACACTTTTAATTAGCTGATATTCCGCACGCTTTAGGCTATTCAAATAAATATATTAGCAATAACTTAGTCCAAATTCTTGTTTACTGATATTTCTTTGTATTTTTAAAGCGGTTAACATTCTGTGTTATACAAAGTCAGCCGTTTTCTTTTAATTGCCTTAACATCACAAATGGAATACCTAAGAACTAGTAACGAGACAAATACACATGTGCAAATATAAGCGCACGCACACACAAACACACACGTATACGCACATACAAATCAACAGAGAAATTGCCTTGATGATCTGCAGCCCAGATACAGACTAGTGGTGATGAAAGTATTCGATCCATCTATCATTAACATATTTTTTATCGAATGTATGCATATATGTTTATGTGTATCATTTAGAAAGGAATATAAGGCAGCATAAACCATGTATTGACGTTCAAAATTGACGTTATTAGATTATCACATCAAGCGATGAACAAAGACGAAAAGCATGTATTGTCCGTATATATTTACGTGTGCTATTATACTATATTACTGTTGTGTGGATGTACTGTTAGTATGGAAGAATCATTCTACAAAATAAACTGTAAGCATAGATTCGCTTTTTCTTTGCACCCATTGATGAAGTAACATTTCTTATGATTCCTCCCATGTAGGATATCCTGATACCTAATACACAAAGAAATAATTAGTGTTGTAAGGAATGGCGTTTAGAATGAACACTATTCGAATTTTAGGTCTGCAGCGATTTTGCTCAAGTTTAATGTAAATTTCGTAAGGAACTAATATCGGCTGACAAATCACTGAAAATCAAGGTGCATTTGACATATATATTTCGTCCTAGTTGAGTATTCTTCGGTAATGCTCACCCATGACCACACCAGAGGTTGAAAGAAGAACCTTTCGGGCCTTCAGGCCAAGTCCATTGACGATTAGTCGTCGGTACAGAATTTAATGGCAGGAAAATCGTAACTTCTGTCATTGGTTCTCCATCTAACGTCAACGAATGACGATATTTATACCATGAGTGATATTTATCGAATAGTCTGTTTTACTCATGTCATGTCAAACATCTATATGATGATGCCATATGTCAATTGATTTACAACATTAAACTCAGCGATGTCTTCGAAGTGAATACACAGGTAAGACATGACCGCCTACTATAACTGATGATATCACTGATTATGGTGGACTAGATCACACAGAAGACTCTGGGGTGTGTGAAGACAAGCATACACTAGAACAACATGAAGCCTCTACAAGGTCTGGACTTCAAGGATGATTTATGTCAAAAGTTACTTAAACTGGAAGATCTACTAGTGAAAACTAACAAGTTGATGACAGGACTTCAGGTTAACACAGAAAAGACTGAAATGAAAATACTTAACCAACAATAATAAGCATCAATCGTCATCAGCAGGTGGAGAAATCTAAAAGAAGTCATCTCTTTTACTTATCTGACTAAGCAGGATCGTTTCAATAACAGATGGTACGGATGAGGACTTAAAAGTAAGCTAGGACTATAAAAGCACGACAAGTCTTTATTTCTATTGAATCAGTATGAAAATCTGTTGCACCGAAGTACAAGGAATAAGATTCGGATATACACCCCTAGAGTTTAGTCAGCCATTCTACTTGCATCAGTGACTTGGAGCGCCACCAGAAGCATATCCCACTGAACACCATAGACTTTTATCAACAGCTACTTTTACTCCATACTAAAGATCGGATGGCCAGAAAGGATTAGCAGCGATGAACTCTGAGAACAAACCAATCAAGAACCTATCGACTGACAAATATGTATAGGGACACTGTTGGGTGACGTCATACGCTAGGCAGGCCCTCGCAGGGAGCCTGAATAAGAAAATGACTAGTTGGTAGTCCAAGAATGATGTGGAGAAAAATCGTGTGAGAAGATGAGTGCTTAAGGGCAATATTTAAGACAGCTAATAAAGAGGAATGAAGAGAACAGAGTAAAATAGAGGTGTGCTGTTGAAGTCCCATGTTCCACTCGGAACCCAAGGGAACAGTATTATTAAAATATTGAACTAATAAGACAATATAATAACTTCTTACCCTTAATTGCATCCAGACACAATGGACCTGAGATTTGATCCTCTAACTGAAGAATATTTAAAAATTCTTTGGACATTTCATTTCTATCATTTTGATGAATTTCAAAAATATCGCCTAAATCTGTACCAAGTTCCGATGGACAGCTTTAAAATGTATACAAAAATCAAATATTATACCTTATTAGTAAATTATGTAATGTCAAAGGAACAAAACGAATGACAGTTCGTAGTAGAATAACAAAGGACTGCGTAATATTAGATGCCATGATGTAATTATTGAAAAGCTATGAAACTAGATTAGCACATGATAACAGTAGGAAAATATCGAGAAACTAAAGATCACTGTTTCCTTATCATGAATTTAAATCCATTCCTAATTTCATTGAAGAATTTGTCGAATATATGTATTTAAAAAACCTTCGAAAAGTAAAGCTAAATGAACAGATGTTTCGTCCTAGTTTTGAACTCTTCGCGACAACAAAACCACCAGGGTTCACACCCAGCACTTTCAGGTTATGAGAATTGCTCGTTGACATTTACAGCAGCTGGAATGGAATCCTAACTTATGTCAGCGCAGGATATATAGTACTACTGTCAGGTAGTATCATCGATGTGTATCCTCTTCATCTTGACATGGTGGATGGCAGTGGTCACAGCTTTCCATTGGAACTTCAGCATATCCATTCTGTCAGCACTAATTAGCCAGAAGAATGGTTTTTGGTGGCTGAATGGTCGACGGATTTGCACTGTAGTGTGAAGGTGCTAGGTTCGAAGCCTGATAAAGTTTGAGAGTGTATACCGAGAAGATTATCCATTGCTGTTTGATGTTCAATAACTGAACAAGTGCGACTGAGTGAATATAATTTAAACTCCAGTATGCCGCTTAGGTTAACTATCGTTTCTTTTTATACAGCATTAGATCACAGGGTATATTAAAAAGAAGGTTGGAGCGAAAAAATTTTTCTTTTCAACGAAGTCACCAACTAAGCTGTACATTCGTGTATATACATATTAAAGAAGTGGGAATGTTCCAGAATTATTTCTGGCCAGGGGGAAAATTAATACAATTGCAAATAGGGATTAAAAACGTAAAAATGATAGAAATAAACAGGAAGTTTGAATAAGAAAGGTAATAAGATAATCACTATTGAAAGAACTGATATCTTATAATGGCCATGGTAGAGACAACACTGGGAAGTATTTCTTTTGGATACACAACGTAGACTCGAACCTTTGGACTACCAGTGCCTCAGATACATCTAAAAGCATTGATCTCACCCGCATTGACAGGTTTGATCGGATCTCGTATATAACTTTGAAAGACTTTTCAAGTAGAGCTGCATGTCTTGAGTTCATTAGTTGTTCAGCTGTCGACCTACATACAAACTTGGGTTCTTCCTCTTCCACCAAAAGTTTCAAGCTGACGCAATGTATCCAACTGTGATCTCTGCCATGGCCATTATAGGAAGATAGTCCTCTCAATAGTGATTAGTGATAGGGAGTACTGGACAGCTGTTTTATCAGCCTAGTTTAAAACTCTTTCACAGTACGTACACACACTGCAGGGTTCAAACTCACGAACTTCTGGTTACAAGATGAGCTAGCTTGTAGACCATTAAGCCACCGTGACCCGATCCAATGGCCAGTCCATGAATTCTAACTTCTGCAATGATTGAAGATTATCTTATTACCTTTTTTATTCAAACTTCCTGTTGTTTCCTGTCATTTATATATTTTTAATCCCTATTTGCAACTGTATTAATTCGCCCCTTGGCCAGAAATAATTCTGGAACTTTCTCAGCCATTAACCATATATACACGAATGTACAGTTTAGTTGATGACTTCGTCAAAAAGAAAATTTCCTTCGCTGCAATCGTCTTTTAACAGTTTCCATTATTTACAACAGTGATGCTCTACATCACAGTAACATAAGTAAGAGAAAAGATCTTTTAACAATATCAACTGAGCTTAAAAAATAAAAAAGCATTAGTTAATCCATCTGAATGAAGTTGTGTTGGAATGTTTCTTTAACAACATCGTTTGAAATGATGCTGGAAATATATGAGGCATATATACTGTCATTGGTAAGTTATCCATCAACCTTTTTAAGCTTCAGATTAATGGCGATGATGATGATGATGAATACGTTTTAACTAAAAATGGTCACCACAAATGATCGTACAAGAACTTTTTGGTGAACATTTACTATAGGCTTGCAAACACTTGACAGCGGAAACCACAGTTGACAGGAGTTGTACACCATATTAGGAATAAAAGCCACTAGCAAACACATTATTTGTCCAGTTCAGACTAGCAGCCAATTCGATATTCATGAATAGGTGAAGCGTGAATATAAATTATGTAATTGACTGCTTATTATTTACAGCCTTAGTAAACCAGTGAACAAGTAAATGAAATGACCAACTATTTGAAACTTACCATTTCTTTAATTGACTAAGAACATATCTTGCAGTGATTAAATTAGCCTTTGGAACTAAATGACCAATCCAACAGTAAGCCTTAATAATTTGTGGTGAATCTGTGTTAGCCAACAATTTTTTACATTGTATTAAAAATAATACACCTTGTGGACGTAATGAACTCAATGAGACTGGAACTTCAATCAGATGACCTTCTTCCATTACTTCACCACGAACAATAAACATACGTGGACTAGGCTTTATGAAAAAAGAAAGAATAGACAAAGGTTCAGAGTGATTGATTTGTAATGAAGTATTGTTCATCAAGTTGGAAAATATTAGGAAAGAAATATATAAATAAAAAAGAATACAAAACATAAAAGTTGGGACAACTGTTTTCCCGGGTGTTGTCTCCTAAGGTCAGACGGCGTTGAATAAGAAATAATGTTTAACTGTGTTTGTGTTTGTGTTAGAATGATTGCCAACCGACAGCATAGTCCGGGTTCGAATACACCCCTCCTCTCCGGCTCACTCCTAAATCTCACTTAACCTGAGGTAAACTCAGAAAAGAGGAAATTTTAAGTTTGAGGCTATCACCCTCATCCCGCTTTCCTCCCCCCCCAAAAAAAACCCAGTGAAACTTCAAAGCTGGAGCTTGGAAATCTATGTTCCACCAAGAATGTAAAAGGATAAAATTTAAAATATTTCACAGTACTTGTCTTACAACTTCACATTTTGATGCTGAACTTAATTGATACTTTTGGAAGTAATTTAGATGAATGAGTTGTGCACTGACATCTCTTTCTTACAGATAGTTCAAGATAATGATAAGTGGGGAGTCGCGACTACGGGAGGACAGCAGGTCTGGTGTGAGGATAAATACTCGCCACTGATGACATTCTCTGGTGGTTGCACTATATCATGAATTGGCAGAAGTTGGAATTCATGCACTGGCCATTGGATCAAGCCCCAGTGGATAATGGTCTACGAGCTCGCCTTGTAACCAGAAGGTCCTGTGTTCGAACCGTGAAGTATCTCAAACTAGGACAAAACAGCTGTTCAGTACTCCCAGGTGGTTTTCCAATGGTCATATAACCGATGCCAGTTCATGATGAAATCATGTAACCAATCAGTTCCCTGCAAACCAACACTTGAAGATAATTTTTTCTGTTTTGTAATGGAAAACTATTCTAGTGACTTTCAAGACTTGTCAGTATTCACTGAATGCCTGTAAACTAAATAAAACTGTTGTTACCGCGCATCACTTATTTACAAATGTCAGTCTACTGAATTCATATCTACTGGATGAGTCATACTGTGCTCACTAGGAGACTTAACAATGCTAGATACCATTTGGTGTGGGATTGTAGGCATTTCCGAGGAAAACATTTTCTTGATGATAAAGTCATCTTATCCACTGTAAAACCCTTTCAGAATCATTTTATTAGCTGGAACTATGAATTCGTGTGAATGAAGAGGCCATAACGAATAAGAGTTGAATAAGTCATTAGCAAGTTAATTTAGAACAACATATGTAAGGTCTTCAAATAGATCTTATCAGGCGCTCTATGCTGTAATATACTTACTTTACTTCGGCCATCTCCTACGGGAGGATGAGCCGGCTTCATGAACATCTCGAATCATTGCTGCCCAGGTGCAGCGATCTGATGCAAGGTTTTGCGACAGGGTTATCCAATTCGTGTTCCACAGACGGAGTCCGTAGACGGTTCGTAGCCCCAGGCACTCCATATCAGCCTTGACTGTACCAAGCCATGTTTTCAGCTTTCCACCCCTGCGACATCGCCAAGATGGAAATGGCGAGGGATTTAGAACTAATTTGACCAGATCGTCATCTGGTCGGCGCAGAACATGGCCAAACCACAGAAGGTGACGTTGTTGGACCAGTACTGGAATTTGGTTGATGTTGTAGAGAGTTCATGAAGTTTCATGGGAATTAGGTACGAGTGATGTCCCCTGCATCGCTCCACCTTTTGTTTGAGAGTGGAGCTCTAGCCTTTACACAATCAAGTGCGACCTACAAGGCAGTAGGAGTGGAGTAGGGAGTCCACTATCCATTGGCAGCCAGTGACCAGAGTCTGGTTCATATGCCTTTTTGAATGGGGCCAGACATCCAGGGCATCCAATAAGCCCTTTGTCCATACGTCTGCCTGTGAGCTCCGGTGCGCTTCATACGCCAGTCGTTGGAGGTTTGGAATCAGGGTTTAGCCATCTCCCCTAGACTGTCATCCAATGGACAGTCAACCCGGTGAAGAGCGCCGGGCATCTGCTTTTGCCCACTCACTTCGGTGAAAAACACCTCCGCCACGTGAAGGCAGTGAGTAGGACTTCCTCAGGAGAGGCTACATAAGACGCCTGGTCATATGGGAGCATTTCAAGAGGTTGACGGAGGGGTGGCCAACCCGCAGCGCAAGGCACCCACCCCCGACCATCCTGAGGCTTTGGAGGCCTGTAATATACATAACTTAACAAATAAATATTAAGATATAAACTAGTCATGGTGAAGTGCCAACAGATGATAAGATTGTCTGTACAAATTGTACAATTAGACATAATAATAATAATTCTACTACTAACAGAGATGAGAAGATGAAGCGATTTGTGATAACAAGGATAATGAAAAACTGCATGTGACTATATAAACAAACATCCACATAGACGTAGTAGGTGATGCGGTAAAGTTAAACTACCACAGCTAAAACCACAATGGCCTTGAATAACCAATCAGCATTTACACAGAAGAAAAGTCGCATAATCGTTGAAAAATACATTAAAATCCACTCTAAACATGATATTACACTGTATAGTTTTATGTATTGGATAATTTAATGGCCATACTTTGAGATACTAGATCCTGTAGGAGTTTTACCTGAAAACACAAGACTCAACAGTGAACAATGGTGAGGTCAAAAGCGCTTCAAAACACTGAATTTACTCATAAAACGTCAAACCTCCAACTGTTTATGAAATTTTATACAGGCCTATAACGTTTAACCATTTTGTTTGTGAAAAACATTTTTCAAGTAGTCTTGTGAGACACCCAGAAACTATATATTGGCATTCAGGCGTTCTGAGATATTAAATCGAATTTAAGATTCATAATTTAATTCATGGATTGCAATTTACATAGTTTGAGTTGACACTTCACCACAATTTTCTTTAGAGACCGAAATTATTCAAGATCACAATGGGTCAATAAGTGAAACATAAATGTATGACGCTATATACCACTGATTGAATAAGATAAGAAGCTGGAGACTATTAACAACAACCAGGGCTTACTGGCCAAATCAAAGTGCTCTGAACACCAGATGCCTAATTCGCTCATCGTTTCGATCTCATCAGCAAATCTTGAACTAATTTGTAAATTTCGAATTCGACTTAACTTACTGCCAGTTTACCCAAGTAGACAGCCAGAATTCGGTGGATGATTTGAACTGATTACATCGTCTGATTTACGTCAAACCGGGCATAGTGATAATGATCTCGGTCCTAAAGGAGTGAAACATCCATCTGTTGTTTAAATCACTTCTAGCTAGCTAACAGGTAAGCACTACTTAGTTGTTATGAGTAGTAACCAACTACTCATCACAATCGGTTCGAAGTATATATTGTGGCCCTCTGGGATATTGTTAACGATGAAGACTGTGTTTTCCCCCACGGAGTTTTCGTGTAATTTCTATTCCAAGAGAAATAATAACTGAGATGTCAAAATCTTCTCGATTGCAAGTGAATTTAACATACACTTTAAAACGCTGAAACAACGAAGATGGTGATGTTAACTTCGCTGATTCATTTCATTCCCTGTCCATTACTTTATACTTTGTCATGATCATCATAGCGAGTCAGTGGTTTAGGGGAAGAATTTTTGTAAGGCATCCTCGTGGTCCAGGTTTCGACTCCTTACTAGTGCACTACTAGACCTCTCGTAGCCGGTGTCAAGCCTGGAAAAGAAGGAAAGTAGGTTGTGTTGTTACCAAACCCACTCCTTATAACCCCGCAACCGCAATGGAAAATCCCAAGCGTAAAGTTTAAAGCTCTGTATTCCTTTTGCGACCTAAAGGAATTGGAAAACAAGCTATCATCACAATAAAGACTTTAGAATATTCAACTGATAAAAACACTCACAAGTTTCGGCGCTGTTCTCTTTCCATCGTGTACAATCATTCTGCCACTGAATAAATGACAAAATACTGGCGGTTCCTTTCCTTCTATTACTCTGATCTGATTGTTGTTATTATTAATAATATTTAATTGACAAAAACAAAAACAAAAGCAAGTGCAAGGTCAAACAAGGTGAAAAACAACATCTAATACTATAAGGCCACATTATTACTAATATTAGTAGTATATAGTAGTTATAGTTGGACTTTCACATATTATGACATTCCTTTTACCTTATAAAATACAGGTTACGATATTTTTTATTTTTATTTTTAACATAATAACAGAGAAGAGTTATAAAACAAAATATGTTGTGACAAGTTAATCATCCGATTAAATATTGTCATGATCTGTGAATAATACTCTGAATATTAGTCAAACCTTCACAAAAAAAGTATAATCAGTTAGGTGAAGTCATTTTTGCCACATAAAAACATGAAAGTAAATCCAGGAAAACATTGCAAACCTGACAGGCATAATTCAGTCTGTAGCAAACAAAGCACCAGATGCACTATACTAGTTAATGTCCAATAGAAAGTCAAGAATGAAGAATTTACAAAAAACTACAACTAGCGTAAAATACACACGTGCGTCAGTGGCACAGCTGCAGAATCCTCGCCAACCACTCATGGGGTTCAAGGGTTCGACCCCTGTTCAACGCACTCCTTTACCTCGCTCAGCTAGTACTTAAACTGGTAAAGAGGGGAGGTTGGGCATGAGGCTAGCAACCTCATCCCGTAAAAAATAAACACCACTGCTACCGAAACTTTGAGCCTATAGCTTGAAGCCCCCTGTGTTCCACTGGGAAGGTGAAGGAATAAAATAGGCAAATTGGAATTCACCCTAATCACAGTATAATCAGTAGAAGTTGAGTGCATCAGTTTCAGGTAACAAGAGAACCGCGCCAGATTCCGTCCAAGTTGGCTGAATGGTCAATGAGTTCGCCTTAGAGCCTGAAAACCCCAGGATCAATCCCTGTTGATGTCATCATGGGTGTCTACTGCTGAAGAGTTCAAAAGCTAGAAAGAAACAGCTGTCTAGTACTACAGTTCTGGTTTCTTATGTGTTTCTATAAATGAATTTAGTTTGCGTTCAATCTTGAAATCATTTAAATATACGTGCAAACTATCACTTATAACTAACTGATTTAAGTCAAGTACTTACTCTAGCCGTTTAACATTGAGATTTCTTATTAGTGAACTGAATATTAGTGTGTGTTTGAAAACGCTATTGTTGTTTTTTGTATTAATTTTATATTCACTAAGACATTTTTGTTTCTGTTTTTGTTTTGAAGTCAAGTCTTTGCACCATTCTTATCCAAGATAGAATTAGTGAAACGTGTCTGAGTTAACGTGGGCACTGTTATCTTAGTACAGAATCATTTCGCTCAGTATAAAAGAGTATCACTGTCAGCGAAGGTGGAAGTTATTCTAAGAGGAAAATTAAACTTTTTTTATGACAGCTAGTCTGACGAAACAATAAAAGCGAAGAATACAACGAAAGGATTCCAGCATGAGACATTCGGGAGGGAACAACCGATACAAGAATGAAGTGTCACAAATGAAGTTTGTTAAAAGCCAATATGCATAAGTATGTAATACTATATCCTTATGAAATCAGTAGAAATTAGATAAGTATCCTGATGATATCAATACCAATTTTATTTGTAAATTTACATTCAGATACATGGTAGAATGTACATAGGAAGGACAGTTAGACAGAAACTTGTATCCGACCTTAAGGGGCATAACTCAAGAAACTCTATGCCGAAAGACAAGCAAGTATTCAAGTATTAAAGTCATTAGGCGCCTTTCGACGTCTCTTAGTTCTTTAAAATATTAGATGCGCAAAAGATGTACAGATTACTATACTTTAGGAAGGTTGGTGTCATAAAACATTTTCAACCGGATATGTATATATATAGGAAAGTTGATTTACTCAGTTTAGTTACTTTCGTCTAGTTATCTGATGACGTCTCATAAGCCGTTTTGTTGATAATGTATATAGATCAACGATGATATTTGATCCTAACATTTACTGTAGTATGATTTTAACAGTTGAAAAATTGTTTCCAGGTGACCTTAAGTAGTCTTCAAAATGGTGAGTACTTATGAGATATTATTTTGGTGGGTGGTGGCTAGCAATAAAATCCAGGAAGTATGCTTTCGTCCTTTTTTGGACTCATCAGTTAGATATAGCTGAGATCCCTAGTGACTTAAAACTCGAACTGATCACTCAGTTTAAACGCCAAACCATTATCCAGTATGCCACTTGGACGATAAAAACCGCCTCTCTATTGCGCAACGCGTATCATTTACTACTATTATCATTATTATTTATTTTTAAGTTGATTTTTGCACTTCGATTATATTGGGCCAAACTATTTGGTGTGTGCTAGTGGTCACCGTCTACCGATATAACATCATGTGTTAGTCTTCAGACATTGTTGAAGCGTCCGTTTTCATAGCTGACATGTCAACAAGGACCTAACGTTCCAGTCCAGTCAGCGGGAAATACAAACATTAACTTAAAACCCTGTGGATATGTTAAAATATGCATAATTTGTCTTTCTCCGTTGGAATAATAACTACTCTGGTCAGACAGTAAAAGTAAAAAAAATAGTTACTACAAACAAAAGTAATTTTTGTTTGACAAAGTGTATAAAAGAAATAAGGCTAACCTGTGGACCTCTTTCCTCGTCTAATTCAATAGTCATTAAAGCTGCTGCGCCTTTTTCCGTGATTTTACTCTGTGATCCTTGCCAAAAGAAATAAGCACAATGTTCTCGAATATTTTCACTATTACGCTTATTGCCATTTCGTACACTATCTGGAAAAGTAAGGTAAAAAAACAAAACAGATATGTAGATATCAGTCAACTGTTGTGGCGAGTACTACTGATAAGATTTATCACACTGAAGGTAAAGTGTACATAATTTCGCCATATTAAGATATCTAAATCCAAGGAACATTCCTTTGCATAGTTGGTTTGTATGGATTAGATACGTTTTGACGAGTTCATCATGGACTGATATCAGTTAGAGAACCATTGAAACCACCATGGAGTACTGGATGGCTGTTTTCACCTCATAGTTGGGAACTCATTGGCAGTACGCACTCACTGGGTTTCGAACCCAAGACCTTCCGGTTACAAGACAACCTCGTCTACCATTCAGCCCCTGGTTCTGTAACTGATATCAATCCGCGATCAACTCGTCAGAATCAGTCTAATCCTTACAAACCAACTCTTGAGATTAATCTGACGCTCGCTAGTGACCTGCTACAGGACGGAGTTTTCTGCATTTCTAGTGAGAAGTCGTGACCAGTGAGGTCCATCTATCCAAGTGTGAGGATGGATGTCCCAACGATGACACTGGTTAGTGCCAGTCGCTCTGAAAATCACGAATTGGTAGAGATTAGAATTCATCGAGTGGCCATCGAATCGCGTCCAGTGGCTGAACGGTATACGAGCTTACCTTGTAACAGGAAAGTTCTAGTTTCGAAACCCAATTGGTGCATACTACCGATGATTCTCAAACTAGGATGGAACAGCTGCCCAGTGCTACCTGCTTTTCAATGGTTCTCTAACTAATATCAAGCCGTGATCGACTCGTCTAAACATTCCTTTACCAAGTCTTCGTCTTCTACTGTTTCACTATGAAACAGTAATATGGATATATACTGAACAAAATCCTAGCAAGTCCAGCATAAATAACATTTTAACACGTAAAATTATTGAGATTTACATTGTAAACATTAGCTATAAGCAAATATCACCTGTCACATAATAATGACAACTGAATGTTACTTCATTAACTAATGTTTATAATTTTACAAAATAACAGTCTTCTTGTGGTCTGTATTTCGTTGCCGTGGAAGAGTAATGTGTCAGCGTGACAAATCACTTCCAGTCAAAAGATTTTAAGGTCTGAAACTATTGAGTATTGAAAACTAATTCCTAATCTTCAAATGCTGGTTTCTTGGGGTTTGATTGGTTTCAGGTTGGATTACACCAGTAAATGACAGCAATCAGAGAACGATTGGAGAACTGGACAGCTGTTTTGTTCAATGCCCCCGTGGTCGCATATCCATCAGTCTGTGACAAAATCCAATGTATATTTAAAACATTAAATCTTGAATTTCTGGATAATTCGTGATTTTTCCAAAAGAAATAAGAGTCCAAATAAAACTGAAAAACCGATGCATTTGTATAAAGGAGGGACAATGTATTGTCTGTTTCTAGTCTAGTATTCATATTACACATTAAGATATGGATGTCAAAATCTCAGGTGTTAACGGTTACTGTCTACAGCTGTCGATAGAAATCTGCATTCTTCTCTTGTCACGAATTGTTTGTAGGTATGTAGCATTTGATAGTTGACACCTTCCTTCTTTTTGAGTTGAATCTTGTTGCCATTATCCTATAGGAGATTGGTTACCACTGCATAAGTGCTTTGGCCAATGTCGGTGCTATCATTATAGCCATTCCCTCACTGTGTTCATGGTTATCGTCTGGCTGATCAGTTATTAATTTCTAGAGTCCTCATATGTTACATCTGCTCTCATAGATTCGTTACACTTCTATACTATATCTTTCCACTTCTTTTTCAGTCTGAGCAGCCATACGGACCTGAAACATGATGCATACATTCTATGCCACAGGCTAGTAAACTAAGCGACGTTGAATTCTCTGTAGCGATGATGCTTTTTTACTTGGAAAGGTTGCTAGCCTCACTATAGATCTTTCCTCTTTCCGGGCCTTACTACTGGTTAGCCGGGGATTAGCAGTACACCTGCCAGGAATCGAACCTGGACCATTTTCTTGATCTGAGTCAGATATAAACAGGCACAAGTTAAGCAGTAGAACAAAAAGCATCACAGCATTGAAATCTGAATTCAATAAACCGAAAAAATGTGTAGTTTACTCACTATGAGCTATTTTATACGACCATCGGATGACATAAGTATTTTCTTTATGAAATTGTCCATGACTTGTTATAGGCATTTCAAATCTAGCAAATTCAGACACATGCCATACACGTAATTCAGCTGTTTCTACACAAAACTGTCGTAAGATACCATCTTCATAACGGCATACTCTACCACCTCGACCAACGTAACGTCCTTCAAGAGTCAGTAAATTTGGAGGTGGAGGTGGATTATTGATTGTACTGTCGTACAATTCAACAGCTGAATACGGTTCCATTGCTAATGAAGCAACGGCAGGTGAACTCTGTGCAAACGAAAACAAAAAGAACACTGTCAAAAGGGAATGGATTTGTTTACTAAGGCTTTTATGTTTAGCTGATCGTGGGTGAATTCAGCTTCAATTGTTGAATAATCGACTTGACTTATCCCTTTAATGATAGTGTCTTATTTGAAACTCTCTCTGATCTCTACACTGACTTATACCAGTTTAGACAAACTAAACCATTGGGCTGAATTAGAATATTTATTATAATATGATAGAAAAACTCTGAAGCCCGACCTTGTACGACCAACTGATTCAAATTTGTAATGGCTTAGGTTTCCAAGGTTGCATAATGTATATGTTGTGAGAGCTGGCTGAAAGCCTAAACTGTAGAAAACAATTTACGTCAATGTTCACGTCCCAAATCAAAGGCATGCTAAAAACAATAACAAAGCTTAACCTTGAGAAAATCTCCAGCCAATCACAGTGGAGTTAACCTGCGGAAATATGATTCACAGATATACGGCTTGATTTTCTGAGAAACGGCCACAAAGAGATGACAGAATAACTCCCAGCAAGTAAACAACTAATGAGGAGATTTTGCTTCTCCACTAACAATAATGAACATAAAAATCTATAAATACAGCTTGATTTTCTTAATAAAGAATTTGTTGTCTAGCCTTTGTCTTCTATCGTTACATATATAAGTGTTGGATTTAAGTCTGATAAAATGAATTGTTCCTACCGGATGGGAACAGTCTGTCTTCATTTCTCATGAACTGAATTAGTTGAATTGGTCAGTAATCAGTGTCTAGTCTTCAGACTAATTGTCTAGTACTTCTAAGTACTGAACACACAAACTGCAACAGCTGATATAACAGGAATACAATATCATCTCATCTCAGAAAGATTATTTTGCTGTCCGTGAAGCTCTACGTTATTTTGACTCTGAAATCTTGATTTATCCTCTCTACTGTTACTTCAGTTGTCAGGACAAGTGTAAATTCATCGTCGATTGAAAATTAACAACTACAGTCTCCTAACACAACCCCCAGTATACCTACCAAGCTGGTTCCAGATTTCTACATAATCTTCTAAGTCAATTTATGGAAAAGAAATGACACAGATTACAGCTTTGTCTTCAAAAATATCTACCGCTTCTGAAGTAACAAGCAGTTTGTTTGTAAAAGACCAGAAAAACATTTCCAAAAAGCGGTTGCAGACTCTCATCAACAGCTGCCTTTGATGCCTCACTAATGAAGATCAGATGGTCATCTTACCGAAAAGGATAAGGGGGCAAACCAAGAACCTACCGTCTAATCAATATCCAAATGGAAATGGAGATTGACTTGACAGACACTGTCGAGGTTTGAAAGGGTGGAAAGGTACCTACCGAGTGGATGAAAGATTGACTGCCCTGAAAAGCTGCCAAAGAAGCGTGACCGACTCTTCACTCTGCAATAACTGGCATGGAATAATGCTCTTGTCCAAGCCAAGTAAAATACTAAGTCGCATCATCCTGGAGGGAATAAAAGATGCACTTAGTGCAGAACTCCATTAACCCGGAACAAACTGGATGAAAGGCGAATCATATACTGATCAAATTGCAACTCTACGCATCGTCATCATCACCGAACAAAGCACAGAATGGCAGTCAAACCTCTACCTCAACTTCACTGACTTTGAAAAGGCCTTCACCGGACAGTGTTGACCGAAATGTAATTTGTAAACTGCTTCAACTGGACGGTGAAACTCAAGTCATCATCAACCTTATCAACAGCTGGCTATATGACAATGTCACGTGTCAGGTGATCCACAACGGAAGACTCAGTGAGACATTCGAAGTGAACACAGGAGAAAGACAAGCTGGTTGCCTATTATGATATTCTTAATTGCAGCGGATTGGATTATGCGTCAGACTGTGTGGAACGAGAAGTCAGAAGTATGTTGGACCACCGATGGGAAGACTGGAAGATCTGGATTTCTCACTAGAATGACTTACGTTTAATGTCACACAAAGTCGAAGACTTACAGGCAGGCGGAAACCAACAGACTGGATGAAGAAGCTGGCAGCGAAGACATGAATTCAGGTGAACATTCAGAAGAGGGAGGCAATGAAGATAACCAACCAACCAACATGGATAAAAACAACCAGCACTAATCACCACCAATGGGAGAGATTTGATAGAGGTTAATTCCTTTACTTATTCAGCCAGGAAACATCGTTTCAACCACAGGCGGTCGGAAGGGATGAGGATGTCAAAGCCAACTAGAATTGGAAGGGCAAGATACGCCTTCATCAACCCGAAACCAATATGAAAATCTTTTATACTCAGCATAAAGAACGAGATTCAGATTTTCAACACCAATGTCAAGTTGGTCCTTCTACATGGGTCAAAAGACTGGCCAGCATGTCACGAAAAGGATTTCCAACAGGTGGCTGCAGATTTTCGCCAATAGCCTCTGTCTTCGCTGGCTCCATACAGAAAATCAGATGCCTGGAAAGAATTAGTAACTAGAAACTCTGGCGATGAACAAACCAACCAAGAACCGATTGCTGATTAAGTATGTAGGAGAAAATGGAGATGGATGAATCGGGCATACATTGAGGAGGCTGTTGAGTTACAATGCATGCCAGTCCATTGCTCGAGTGGAATCCCAGTGGGAAGTGACAAGTGGGTCGTCTTAGGGTGGCATGGAGGAGGTCGTGTGAAGAGGAGGAGGAGATGAAAGACTATGAGAAACCGTGAACGCAACTGAAGAGGACGGCATAAGATAGAATAAAGTGGAGATGTGTTTTTGAAGCCCTTGTTCCACTCGGAACTCAAGGGAATAATAATAACGGAGGCCGCTGAATGATATTGCATCCTAGAAAGTTAACTGAAACCCGAATGAGAAATGACGAGTTTGGTGTATGTCCGAAAGTGACATGGATATAGATCACCGGAAGTGGGAAGAAACGTTTCTAGACAACAGTAAAGCCAGCTAAAATATCTGCAAAGAACAATAACAATCTGATGCTGGAAGCCAATGTTCAACTGAAGGAATAATAATAATGTATATATCCTCTTTGCAGAAAACAAAAAATCAATAAATACAATTAATTTTTTTCAGGCATTACCTCCATAGAAGCTGATTTCCCCGGTTTTAATGACTTCAGCTGTATACGTGAAGTATCAGGCCAGTCAAAGAATTTCTCTTTAAATAGAACAGTTTCACCCTTGTCTGTTACTTTACCTAATATAGTCCAATCAGGTCGTTTACATCCAGAAGCCAGTATATCACTGTTGTGGGCTAAATTAATTTATTGAGAAAAACAAAAACATGTTAAGTGTGGCTAAAGTTTAATAATAATAATAATGAATGAATGAATAAATCTTAACAAAATCATTAATTGGGAAAGAAATATTGTTGTTCAGTGCTAGAGTTGATAAAGATACGGAATTACTGCATGATCTCTGGGTTATTTTAGGTGCTGCGGTGTTATGACATGAAAGTTAAACATTCTGAAAAGTCGCTAAATATAAAAGAATGCCATAAAGTAATCTTCTGAAAGCTTTTGACCAGAAAACGATAGACTGATAGAATTTAGTCTGCACCAAAGAAAGGACTAGACGAATAGCACTAGTTACTGGTGTCCAATCAAAGAAAACGATGATTACGTGAACCAGTCATTCAAGTTCCCCTAGAATGATAAAGATCATAGTTGAAACCTAGGGAATAGGATGATTCAATTGTGATTCACGTTGTAAAATTATTAGACAATTAAGCCATAAGTGTTTACATTCAAACCACTACTGTTTCTTGTAATAAAACTGTTAATTTGTAAGGTCCTGGGTTCGATACCCGGCGAGGTCATAAATGCTTACTGCTAGAAAAATGTGAACTGCTCAGTAATCCTTGCTTTTCAAACATTTTATAGCTGATTTCGCTTCATGATCAATATAACTTGATAATTATTTGTTTAGGAAGTTAATTTTTATTATCAAATCACTTACCATTACAAGAGTCATTTCGATTTTGAGTTCTTTGTAGGGATTATCTTTAATTTAGATTTCGTTATGAAACGACAACAGTTTTATAATCATTGAAAACTAGTAAACACTGGATAGCTTTTTCATCTTAGTCTGGAAATCTGCAGCAGTGTACAATGATGGTTCTACCAAGGATGAAATCCTGGATCTTTCATGGTGAATAGACCAAGCTCCTGACAATGCAGTCAGCAGGCTTGGAATCCAAAACCTCGGGAATTCTAACTTCTGTCGATTTGTGAAAGAGAGCCATTCTCAACCAATTTCTTAGGTAAACATCCACTTCGTATTTGACATAGTAGTTGCCAGTCGCCACATTTCATTACAGCTTCAGAATATCCATCCAGTGGCCCTTAGTACTCTAGAGACTGATATTACGATGATCTCTAACTTATAGTCAATTGTTGGGTGATGTCTAGCAGTGATGCGCATTTCATCCAATTGGGACTTGTCAGTTGGGTGCACTTGCAATCCCCAGTGACAGTGATGGTGTTCCCACGAGCCTCGAACTAAGTACCCGTAGTTTCAAACGCCAAGTTACGTGACTAGACATCATCGAAACATCTGAAGAAACAGCCGAAATGTCAACCTGAGACAAAGCACTTCCGTTCAATCAATCGACGGGAAAATCTAAATTGAATTTAAAAAATCTCTAATTTGTGTTGTTCATGATGTAATGTACAACTGGAATTATTATTCGCCTGAAATGAAACAAAGCCATCCCTTATTTTTTCAAGACTGTTCCTTTTTAAATGTATTATTGATGATACTGATCTCCCTGAGTCTTTAATGAACTATGAAGCTCAGTGATCTAAAATTCTTTTGCATTGATTTTTGCCTATATGTAAGTTATTCATTTCTGATAAGTTGAAGACATGCATATAACACTATACTGACAAACTATACTGACTGAAAGGAACAGTCACAGAACAAGTATTTGTGAGAAAAGTAATGAGCATTTATCAAGACAGTTCTGTCCCGATTTATGCATTCAATACATATGCTTGTGTCACAGTATAACAGTTGGGTCCCAGTCGCTGAATTGTCTACAAGCTTGCCTTGTCTCCAGAAGGTCTTGGGTTCGAACCCCGATTGGTAGGTGTGTACTGCCGATGATTCCCAAACTAGGACGAAATAGCTGTCCATTACTCCACTAACAGATATGAATCTTTGGTTAAACTTTAAAACAAATAAAATCCCTACAAACTAATTCTTGAATATTGTAATACTCATCTACATCTGAATAAATTTTACCTCCATCCCACCTCAATAAGATTCCAAAACTGTCCTTCTGTTTGTAAAGTAGTAATCTATTACGCTCTAAAGCGGACAGAAAACTTTCATACATGGATATAACGTTATCCAAAGTGAATTGGGACAGCTGTTAAAAACAACTAATGTTCAATAGTAAGAATAACAAAAATGTCAACTTCTCTTTTCTCCAGTGTACATGATCTTTGTTGCATACCACTAGTGATCTGAGAAATGATAGTTACATAAGACTTAAGAGACCATTTTACTAGTATCTTACTTGATAGCTAATATCAACCTTCCTGGTCTACTTAAACTAATTCAATGCATGATATTCTGTTGAATAACAGCTAAATCGTTCACGTGTGTGTGTGCATTTGAAATATTATTTTAAAAGTCAGCTGCTATAGATGTGATAGAATTTTAATATTATTATTACTAATACCATTTTTCTTTTTGTGTACCTTTCTTGATCCAGTTGACGTAGATCAAACAAAGTATCACATGCGAGAAATGCAAAAACAGATCCTCAGACAAAATAAATGGAAGATAGAGGGACAAGGGGAGAAGAATTCTCGTGATTTTTACTTTCTAAATGTCATGTGAAACAAATTTATCAAGATTTTATTTTCAAAAAGAAATTTTTTGCTTTTGTTGGTTGGATCTTTATAATGTCTACTGTGATAATACACCTTGGTATTCTTCATCTTTGTGTTGTTAAAAATAAAACATGAAGCTTTTATATCTGGTGGTTTCAAGAACATTTTTGAATTGTATAGGAGGGAATATTCCTGTAGGGGTTAACTTCTTAAAGTTTAAACTGTCCTGGTCTTATTGTGAAGAAATGTATTTTCAAGTCTGGTTTTGTAGGGATTTCGTTTGGTTACTTGGAGGATTTTATCATGTGCTGACATTAATTTCAGAATTATTGGAAAACCTGCAGGAAATGCTGGATAGCTGTTTTGCCCGCCTAGTTCGGGACTCTTCAGCAGTATGATCAGACCACCACGGTTCAAACCCAGGACCTTCTGGTTACAAGGTGAGCTAGCTTGTAGACCATTAGGCCACTGGGACCCGATCTAATCGCCAGCCCAAGAATTCTAACTTCTAACAATTCATGACATAGCGCAACCACTTCGCAATGACTTCTTAGACGAGTTACTGTCCTCACCTTCAAGCTGCTGTACCCTTCTGGTCACGGCTTCCCACTAGAACCCTAGGTAACTACCTGTCTAGTATTTCCAGGCTTTCCAATGGTTTTCTAACTGATGTCAGCTCATGATGAAAACTTCTAACCTATCAAACAATTTTGTTTGTTTGATGATCAGTGTAAAGCAGTGAGATGTTTTGTAATAATGTTCTACATCATCTCGGATTTCGATGTTTAATGAATTTTAGATAAATGGATACAATTTGTCCCTGTGATGTTTAACTTTTAGGGAACTTCTGTAAATTTTACTATATACGCGTATTTAATTGGAAATCAAGTACAATATGAAAGTATCATAGAACATAAAGAGGGAACTTTTTAGGTATCTTCAGGTCAAATGACAAAATAGGCTACTTAGTTTCACGTTCTTAGAGAGAATTAAACTAGGGGTAACAAAATAGAGTTTGATTAAGTCGATTTTTCTTTAGGCCAGAAATGACGGTGACAAAGAAGGAGTTATTACACTGTTCAGGATATGATTATTCAAACATGAATTAGATTTTTATGCTAGATACTTCGATAATATAAACCACCTTTAATACATATGCATTATTGTATGGAGGATTTAATCATGAGCCGACATCAGTTAGAGAACCACTGGAAAATCTCGGAGTACTGGACAGCTGTTTCGTCCTAGTTTGGGACTCCTCAGCAGTACGCACCCACCGGGGTTCGAACCCAGGACCTTCTGGTTACAAGGCGAGCTCGCAGACCATTGAGCCACTGGGACCCGATCCAATGATCCTTGAATTCTAACTTCTGCCAATTCACGACATAGCGCGACCACTTCGCAATGTCTTCTTCGATGACTTACTGCCTCATCTCCAACCTGCTGTACCCTACTGGTCACGGCTTCCCACTAGAACCCCAGGTTAACTGCCTGAATAGGGCCAGTCGCTAGTGAGCATCAGATTAATTTTCAAGTGTTGGTTTTGTAGGGATTTGGTTTGATTGTATGGAGGATTGAAGATGAGGCAGTAACTCATCGAAGAAGACATTGCGAAGTGGTCGCGCTATGTCGTGAATTGGCAGAAGTTAGAATTCGAGAACCACTGGATCGGGTCCCAGTGGCTCAATGGTCTACGAGCTCGCCTTGTAACCAGAAGGTCCTGGGTTCGAACCCCGGTGGGTGCGTACTGCTGAGGAGTCCCAAACTAGGACGAAACAGCTGTCCAGTACTCCCAGGTTTTCCAGTGGTTCTCTAACTGATGTCGGCTCATGATTAAATCCTCCATACAATCAAACCAAATCCCTACAAAACCAACACTTGAAAATATGCATTATTAACAAAGAATCCATGACTATTGGTTTCGTTAGCGCAAAACAGCATGGCTTGTATGAAATTCGGCATCTTTATAATGCTTGATACTTAACAGTTAAAGGTGACAAGTTGATATATTATTATCCCTTTGATTTTCTAAGAGGATGTAGGACTTCAGAAACTCATCTCCATTTTACTCTGCTCTGTGTAGTCTTTCATTTTCCTTTCACACGATCTTCAAGTCAATCTCCGATGCCTAACACTTCTTTTCCCGTTCCGGTTCCATTTAACCGCAAGCCTAGCATGTGATTTCAGTCAACAGTCTCCTCAACGCATGTCCAATCTGTTTCCATATCTTTCTGCATATCTACTGAGCGATACGTTCTTGTTCGACTCGTTGCTAGAGTTCCTTGTTGCTTAACGCTTTTGGTCATTTAATTTCCAAGCGTTAGTGAATGTCTATAGTAGGCTGTTGGAAAAGCTTTTTGTGACGCTGGCATCAAGTCTCTGAACCATATGGAGGAAGTAGTGACCTGACATT